GAAGGGGAGTTGAGCACACAGACATTCACTGAGGGAGCACGCCATGTCACCATGAGGACGGCCGTCTACACATCAAGGAGAGAGGCCTCGGGAGGAGCCAGGCCTGCCCAAACCTGGATCTCAGACGTCCAGCCTCCAGCCCGTGAGGCAATAAATGTCTGTTGTTTAAGCCCCTGGCCAGTGGGACTTGATTATGGCCGCCCTGGCAAACGAATACCCTTACATGTAATGGAAAGCTTGCAGGCCCCGAGGGAGGGAGCCCAGTGTAGATCTAAGGAAAGACCCTTCTAGGCCAAGGGAACAGCGGTGAAACGGCCTGAGGCTGGGATGTGCCTGATACACACCAGGGCCTCCAGCAGGAGCCCGGCTGGCCGGAGCAGTGGGACAAAGGCCAACTGGTGGGTGATGAGGTCAGAGAGATGGGCGTGAGGGGCACCCACCTTGGCTCGTACCCTGAGTAAGATGGGACTCATGGAAGGGGGTGGGCAGAGGAGGGGCGGGGTCTGATTTACATTTGGAGAGGGTCCCTTGCCCACTGCACTGACCCCGGAAGAGGCCAAGGGAGCAGTCAGCGTGAGTACACATGTACACCAGTAAGTGAGATAACTCAGGCGAGAGGGGCAAATTGCTAGAGAGACACAAGCTACCCAAAGCAACTCAATGGAATGTGTAAATCAAGGTTTCTTCTTATTGAGTTGTTAGGAGTTCTTTATATATTCTAGATACAAACCTTCTCTTCAAGATACATTTTGCAAATACTTTCCCCATCTTTGGCTTTTTATTTTCTTTACAGTGTCCTTTGAAGCACAAAAGTTTTTCATTCTGAGGAGGTCCGCTTTATTATTATTTTTTCAATTTTATGATTTGTGCTTTTTTTGCATCATATCTAAAAAATCTTTGCTACACCAAGGACACAAAGGTTTTCTTCTAGAAGATTTATACCTGTAACTCTTATATTTAGTTCTTTGAACGATTTCTACTTCATACCTGTTAATGTTAATTAGTTCATCTCATTGGATTTGTAAACAGTGTGAGGTAAGGTCTGGGGTTCTTTACTGACATGTCTAATTTCAGCACTTTCTGTTGAAATGACCATCCCTCCCCATAGATGACCTTTGTGTCTTTATTGAAAGGCTGTGGCCATAAATGTTGTCATGGATTTCCAGACTCTAATGTCACTCGGTTTCGTATGTCTCTCTTTAAGCCAACGGCATTCTGTCTTGACTTCATGAGACAGAATCAGGTCATGTGAGTGTCCCAACTTTGGTCTTCTTTATCATTGTTTCAGATTTCCTTGGTCCTTTGCATTTCTTTTTTAAATTTTAAGGTAAGTGTGTCAATCTCTGGTTGTGATCTTGCTTGAAATTGCATTGAATGTGTAGATCAATTTGGGACAATTCGGTATCCTAAATAATATTGGGGCTTGGAATCCATGAACATGGTATGACTCTCCATTCATGTAGGTCTTTTTACGTCTCCAGTGGTATTTTATAGTTTTCTGTATGTAGGTTTCACACATATTTTGTTAAATTTACCTCTTGGTATTTCATGGTTTTTGAATCTATTTGTGAATGGCACTTGTTTTTATGATTTCAATTTCTTTCTTTTTTTTTTTTTTAAGAACGGTGTTACAAGTTAGGGTTAGGGTTAGGTTTAAGGTTAGGGATAGGGTTAAAGGTAGGGTTAGGGTTAGGACCATGTTTGTGTTATGGTAGGAACAGGGTTAGGGTTAGGCTGAGGGACAAGGTTAGGGTTAGGGTTAGGGACAGGGTTAGGATTAGCGTTAGGGTTAGGGTTAGGGACAGGGTTAGGGTTAGGTTAAGGGACCTTTATGATTTCAATTTCTAATCGTCCATTGTTAGGACACAGAAATAGAATTTATGTATTTTGGCTTTGCATCCTGTGACTTTGCTAAGCTCATTAGTTCTAGTAGCATTTTATAATTTAGGATTTTCTACTGACAGTTATGTCATCTGCAAATCAAGATCATTTTAGTCTTTCCTTTCCAATCAAATAAAAGTATAAAGTATAGCTTTTCTTTCCTTGCCTTATCGCATTGCTAGGTCCTCTAGGACGATGTCGAAATAAAGTGCTGTGAGGGGCTGGTTTTGCCTGATTCCTATCAGTCTTTCACCACCAACTATGATGTCACTATGGGTTTTTGTAGATTCCTTTTATCAGGTTGAAGGAGCTCCCTTCTAGTCCTAGTTTACTGAGGTTTTGTTTTCTTTTTATTAATGAATGGGTGTTAGATTTTGTCGAATGTTTTTTGTGTATCTATCAAAATGATCATGTGTTTTTTTTGTTTTAGCTTGCTAACGTGGTGAATTACGTCAACCGATTCTGAAATGTTTAACTTCACATCCCCGGAATAAGCCCTGTTTGGCCATATGTATTGTTCTCTTCTTATATTGCTGGAATCGAATTGCTAATATTCCGCTGGGGACTTTTGTGTCTGGGCTTGTGAGGTATATTGGACTTTAATTTTCTTTTCTTGTCATGTCCTTATCTACATTTGGTGCCAGGGTTACAATGGTCTCACGTAAAGAGTCGGGAAGTGTTCCCTCCTCCTCCGTGCTCTGAAACACTTGTGTAGCACTGGTGTTACTTCTTTAAGTGTTTGGTGTAATCCACCAGACAGGCCTCCCACCTAAACTTTCTCTGCACCACAGCCGGCACTGGACAGAGCTGATGGAAACCTGGCCATGAGGGGTCAGGCTCTTGACCCCCACAAAGATAGGGAGATGAAGCATTCTGCTGTGAGCTTGTTGAGTTTGAGAATCTGTGCAACAGACAAAAGGAATGCTGCATGAGGGAGGTGGCTCCCTGGCCCTGGTGTGAGGGCAGGCTGGCAGTGGGGATGCAGGAATGGGCTGACAGTGGGCGCAGTCACCTGGAGGATGGTGGAGAGGCAATCTGAGGGTTCCTCCATGGAGTCCTGAGAAATGTCAATGGGTACAGGCTGCAGGGACACGGAGAAGACTGAGAAGTGGCCAGAAAGGGAAGAAAAGACCCCAGGAGCCCAGGGCTGGGGTGGGAGCGGGGAAGCAGGAGTCTTGAAAGCCAAGAGGTTTTTTAGCCCGAGGGTGTCCAGATGAGAATGGTCAATGAGGCCAAATGCTGCGGAGGGCACAAGAGAGATAAGTTCTGTGGGCTGGGGAGGTCCAGGTGACTGTGGCGGGCACTGGTCCAACAGAGGGAGACATGGAGGCCATGAGGCATGTCCCTGGCAGGTGCCCCTCCTGCAGGCACCTGGGCCCAGCACCTATCCCCTGCCTGGAGATGGCCCTCCCTCACCTTTTGGGCACCGTTGACCAGATGGTTCCAGGTCTGCCTCCAGCCAGACCTCACAGCTAGATAATGTTTGTAGCCCCAGGTCTCAATCGCTCCTTAAATTCAGCTACACCCCACCCCGCAGCCTGGAGCTGAACGTCTGTCTGCAGTGGTCTGTTTAATGCTGTGAC